TGAGTTATGGGCAATCAACATCACAATATTCTAGTGTGTACAAAAGACAATGAGAATCTCAGTGGTGAATAGAACTTCCCAAGCACTGAGGTTCTATAAACACTTGAAAATTTGGTCTCTATAAGGCCCTATGCACACATTGTACAAAGTTTTTCTGTAAATCATCAGTTATCTAGTGATCTCATGGAGATTGTTATCCCTCAAATATTCAGTTCTTTATTATTTTACTTTGTACAAGGTCATGCATAACACACAAACACACACACACACACACACACACACACACACACATATACAATTCACATATAAACACTATTTGGATCCAAATCCTGGTTATTATCCACTTCAATAATTCAGCATTTCATTTACTCAACATTTATTATGCATGTGACTCATGTATAGTACTATGATAGATGTTGAGACAAAAATGTTTCAAGTATAATTTTTGCAGTATTAATGTAATTTTGGAACTAATAACTCTGCACATCTGAAAAGCAATGGAAATCTCTCTGGTCCCCTAAAGCACTCACTGCAGTGAATGAGTTCATCCAAGAAACAAGAATACTCCTCATTTTTTGTCTTTTCCTTGCCCAGTAGGAACCATTCCTCCACAGCACCAGAGACCTTCAGAACAGCCACCTGCCCTCACCTCACAACAACATCTGCTCCATGACATGTAAGGGACATTGTTGTAAAAGGAACATGGGGAAGCCTCTGAAATTCTTCCTTACTATTAGATAATATAACTGCATTCTCTAGGGAATGAAATTAATTTCTGCCACCATAAAAACACTGTAAATCACAGGAGTCGTGTTCCTTCTCATGTCCCTATTTAATTAACCTCTTCCGACTGTGCCAAAGACAGATACAATCAGAGCAGAATCTTAACTGAGCAGAAAATTGTCTGTGATGCTTCACTTTGGGCTATTGATTTGGTGAATAATTTTCCATTGATAGCCATTTTGGGAAAAATCAAACAATCTAACATTTATTTATAATGTTGTTATAGCACATCTTGCAGAAGTATGTCAGAATTACATCTCTTCTTCTCCCAGTTTCATTTACATTTTTCAAACATTGTGCTCATTAAACATAACATATTAGTGATGTTCTACTAATTAGTACCTATAAGCAGGAAGTCGCAAGTTCCTGAAATACTGTAAAATATCATAACAGTACAGAAGAGAAAAGCACTATAAGGAGAGAGAAGAAAGAGAGGATTTAGGGACCTCCACCTTCAATGTTGTTTAAGGGGTCCAGTGGTCTGATCTACTTGTGCAAACATGTTGTGCTATCTTCTATTTCCTATTACTAAAAACGTGCCATAATATGTGTTGTGCTTTGAAGCCAGGTATACTACATTTGAGGATATTGCACTGAACCATTTATGGAGTTTCCCTAAAAGTTGCTGCTTTCAAGACAGCTGTATATCCAGTGTAGACCAGCGTCCAAAATGCTCTGACCATTGCTTTGCAAGATGATTCTGCAGTTCAAAGCTAATAGAAGTGTTTGTAGGGGGCAAGGATGCTATGTATGTCTCCGACACAACTCATAGGAAAAGGGGTGACTGAATGCCTACTGAATTAGGATGAGGCCATCCCCTCTTCAGCAAAGGGGTAAACTGTGTCTGAGAAATAAAATGGTAAGAGCAGATGGTTAAAACAAACATAAGGTCCCTCTAAGCACAGGGCCCTCAACAACTACAAAAGTCATACATTTACAAAGTCAGTTACTGTAGGAGGGAATGAGCACCTGATTTTCCAAGAGGTGGACTGTGTGGAATACAAATTTGTGTATATCCTTAGATTTCCTATCTCCTATTCTCTTGGTCAACATCTTGTGTGGTCCAGGTTATCCTTCTATTTTGTACTGTAGCAGAATTCCATTCTATGAGCCTAAGAGCTGACTCTGTAAATGGCCACTAGGGGGCAGTATAATAAAGTTGTTTTGTTTTTTTTTAAATTCCCCCTTGGGTAAACTCTGACCAACGGATTAGAAGAGAGAAGAGCTGACATGAATAGTCACTCCTCTCTTCCATGGATTAATGTTCAATCTGGTTCCCCTTGGACTTTCCTAGAAAAGTTCCTACACATGCTGAGCCCTGGTTTTCTTAGCTTATTGTAGTTCACCAGTAGAACCAAGTCACATCACCTTGCTTCACGTCTTTCCTTGCCTCCTTTTCCACATTCCCTCCACACTTCTGCATTGATTTGCCTTCTCAAATAAACACAATCAYTCTATCATCCCAGGAATGACTCAGATTTTAAAAGCCCCAAGCTAACACATGCATTGAATTGCATGATTATTATTTGTTCACTTCTCTGTGAATTTATAATATGGCAATTTTAAAAGTTTATTTAGAAAATATGTTGGGGCTGGGGCTGTAGCTCATGTAAAGCGCTTGCCTAGCACATGTGAAGCACTAGGTTTGATCCTCAGCACCACATAAAAATAAATAAATAAAATAAAGGTATTATGTTCATCTACAACTATAAGTATTTTTAAAAAAGAAAAGAAAATATGTTGGAAAAATATTACACTAAACTAATATTTTAGGAATGAAGCTGGTTACTAGCTAAATTTCAAAAAGCCAAATGACACTTTTGTGTATAAATTAGCCAGCTACAAAAATAATAATAATCTATCATTCATAATAAAAATACATATGTAAATTTTAAAAGCCTATTATACTTATTATTTTTTAATACTGTGTTGTGGCGAATGCCTTCTGCTTTTGGTGTTCCACCTCTCTCTACTTCACACTCTTGATACAGTTGAATCAAGGCTATATTCCTTTTTTTTAATTAGGTTGTGGTAATATATATATATATATATATATATATATATATATATAGTTGCTGATGGACCTTTAATTTATTTATTTATTTATTTATTTATTCATATGTGGTACTGAGGATCCAACTCAGTGCC